AAAAATAAAATAAACTTTGTCAGCAGGGAAATAAAATTTAAAAAAAAAAAAAAAAAGTAAAAAGAAAAATCTCTTGAAATTTTCTTTTTTTTTTCTTGAATTTGATAATGTCATTTTCATCTCAATCTCTTCAGGCATAACCATCATGGCACTTTCAACTGAAACATCACAGCACTTGCGTCCTTCCATACATTCATTTGCTAGTAGTGAGCTCAACTCCACCACCTGCTTCAGTGCTACAGGCAACATTGCCAGACTTCACATTGTTATCATCATCATCATCATCATCGTCGTCACCGTCGTCCGTGACCCCCTGGGCAGCTAATTCAAGAAGTACATTGTCCAGATAGTTAGGGTCAGGGTAGCCATGACCGGTGTAATTGGTATACAGCTCAGTTTTGTGGTGAATTTCATTCCAAGTCACCGTGTTTGGCTCACCCGTGGTCGTCGAGGTGCCAATGGTGAAGATGAGGCGTCTCTTCCAAGCTTTAATTAACAAGCGAAGAACCTGAATTCAAAAAGAAGAAAAAAGAAAGAAAGAAAAACATTAATAACAATGAACAAATAGTCACAAACCAAAAATCAAGTACTGAGCAAATATGTTTCAACTTTCAATACAAAAGTTCTTCAGACTATTAAACTCATTCTTTGTGTTGCTTTTGTTGTTACCACAATGTTTCAGCCAATCCATTCTGTGACACTATTTAGCTATGGTAATTGGCTAAATAATTAACCATAGAAACTAAAAACAGGAAAGTCTTAAGGCGAGAAAGAGCTATATCGAAAGATAGACTGATCGACGTTAAAAAAAATTTTTATTTTATTTACGAAGAAGGATACTTTTCGCAAAAGACAGAAAACCCATAAGAAAAAGTGAGACTGTGATTCTGTCAAAATTAATTAATGTCATGATAAGGGAGTGACGCGCCAAACGAAACAGAATTCAGACAGAGAGGCAGAGCTGGCCACACAAGGCAGCCATAAAAACATTTTGACTCGAACAAAGCCACGGTACAGGTGGGGAGAATCGATATTAATTATCTTTCAGAGATATCATTTAACTTTAATTCCTGGTTCCAGTGAAGAAAGCCATCTGGTATATGCACGAATCTTGGCATGAGAAGGAAAATCGAAAAGGGAATCATTATTATTGCTTATTCAAACTGTTGACGTCAGACATAGCGTCTCAAAAATGAGCATCTGGTGATAAGAGACTTTTAAGGCATGAGAAAAATAAAGAATTTGATTCTCAGGTAAACACGACCGCCCAGTTAAAAGTTGACTAGCAGAGGAACCCGGTGTCGGGTTTTGAGTGATTAATGAGTCGGGCTAAGTGGATTTTGGGTGTCCCTGAAAGAAAGATGTGATAAGAATTAATTGGCAATCTGGGATTTGTAAATGCTTTGGCCGAAGGAAAAGGAAAAAGAAAAAAAGGATTTTATGAACAAAATTCTGGATGATAATTCTAAGAGGGCCAGTTTAGCCACACCCACACTGCCAAGAGATCATTGGCCAAGTGGTAGCATGGGTGATAGGCGGAGGTGAATGTATGAGAAAGACGGAGAAATTGTTAACACCCACTGAGGGGATTGGTATGAGTTACCAATGTGAGAGAGAGGAAGAATCTAGGAGGATAACTCTCCTCTGACCTTCTCTCACGGACAAGGGAGAAACCCCCGAATTGGAAAGTGATTAATCTTCCAAAAATGGGAAGTAATTAATTTTCCTGGCCTAAGAACAAAGAGAATTCTTGTTGGGAATTGAGAATTATCAAGGAACCCAAACCACGTCAGGGCCCCACACTGGATTTTGGTCGGTGTCCATATAAACGAACGTTTCGAGGCAGTCAGTCAGTTGCAGTCAGTTCGAGTTTGGAGTTAGTTCGAGAAGTTGGAGAGTCGAGTTGGAGACCAGCCTCGCAGAAGCTGACCGAAAGATTTCCATGTCCTTTTCAACTTAGTCTTCCTACCAAAAACAAGTTTTATTGACGAACGATTTAAGATACCATAACTCACTTAAGAAATGCAAAAAGTGTCACGAATCCATAGAAACAGGCTGGGAGAGAAACACACTCCTGTATTCAACAGACAGATAAAGATAATTGTTATTTCTCAACATATTTGAACCTCTTGAGTTTGTTTTATTATTTTTTTTTTTTTTTTTACTTACGCTTGTGTAGTATCACCTTTACCCCGGATTCAGCTTGCACTACGGCCCGACACCTGATTGATTTTGTCTACCTAAGATCAAAGTCACAACGTGGGTAGGTTAGACTTGAGATCAAAGCTGTTACTTCGCTGACCAGACGTTGGAGGCGAGGTGAGAACGACAAAGCTGGTATCGAACCGAGAAGAGTCATTCCAAGAGTTCTTCAGACTATTAAACTCATTCTTTGTGTTGCTTTTGTTGTTACCACAATGTCTTAGTCAATCCATTCTATGTCTACCTTCCATAATTTTGATAGTGAAAGCGTTTAGCAGGACTAACCTTTCTTCCCTTTTCATTATCAGGTAAATAACAGCATCGTGGAAATCCCTTGGTGGTAAATCTCTTGCCTGGATTGGGATGTTCTGGGCCCTGCCAAAGGAATAGAAAAAGCAAGTTAAAGAAAATCTATATATGCCTAATTATTGTAAGGAAGAGGCTATCTATCACTAAAGTGAAAGAGTGTGTTACAGATTCTCTCTTTCTTTCTCTCTCATATCTCCAACACACTCTCTCTCTTTCATAAGAAAGGAGTGGATGTTGGAGATACAAGATAGATTTGAGAGAAAGAGAGGAGTGGATGTTGGAGATACAAGATAGATTTGAGAGAAAGAGAGGAGTGGATGTTGGAGATACAAGATAGATTTGAGAGAAAGAGAGGAGTGGATGTTGGAGATACAAGATAGATTTGAGAGAAAGAGAGGAGTGGATGTTGGAGATACAAGATAGATTTGAGAGAAAGAGAGGAGTGGATGTTGGAGATACAAGATAGATTTGAGAGAGAAAAGAGGAGTGGATGTTGGAGATACAAGATAGATTTGAGAGAAAGAGAGGAGTGGATGTTGGAGATACAAGATAGATTTGAGAGAAAGAGAGGAGTGGATGTTGGAGATACAAGATAGATTTGAGAGAAAGAGAGGAGTGGATGTTGGAGATACAAGATAGATTTGAGAGAAAGAGAGGAGTGGATGTTGGAGATACAAGATAGATTTGAGAGAAAGAGAGGAGTGGATGTTGGAGATACAAGATAGATTTGAGAGAAAAGAGGAGTGGATGTTGGAGATACAAGATAGATTTGAGAGAAAGAGAGGAGTGGATGTTGGAGATACAAGATAGATTTGAGAGAAAGAGAGGAGTGGATGTTGGGGATACAAGATAGATTTGAGAGAAAGAGAGGAGTGGATGTTGGAGATACAAGATAGATTTGAGAGAAAGAGAGAGGTGGATGTTGGAGATACAAGATAGATTTGAGAGAAAGAGAGAGTGGATGTTGGAGAGACAAGATAGAGAGAGAGAGAGAGGAGGGAGAGAGATACAAGATAGAGAGAGAGAGAAAGCTGGAAGAGACAGAGCGAGAGAGAGAGAAAGCTGGAAGAGACAGAGAGAGAGAGAGAAAGCTGGAAGAGACAGAGAGAGAGAGAAAGCTGGAAGAGACAGAGAGAGAGAGAAAGCTGGAAGAGACAGAGAGAGAGAGAAAGCTGGAAGAGACAGAGAGAGAGAAAGCTGGAAGAGAGAGAGAGAGAGAAAGATGAAGAGGAGAGAGAGAGAAAGCTGGAAGAGACAGAGAGAGAAAGATGGAGGAGAGAGAGAGAGAAAGCTGGAGGAGAGAGAGAGAGAAAGCTGGAGGAGAGAGAGAGAGAAAGCTGGAGGAGAGAGAGAGAGAGAGAAAGCTGGAGATAATGGAGACAGAGAGAAAGCTGGAGATAATGGAGACAGAGAGAAAGAGAGAAAGCTGGAGATAATGGAGACAGAGAGAGAGAGAGAAATCTGGAGATAATGGAGACAGAGATAAAGAGAGAAAGCTGGAGATAATGGAGACAGATGGAGAGAGAGAAAGCTGGAGATAACAGATACAGAGAGAGAGAGAGAGAGATCTGGAGATAACGGAGACATACATACACAGAGCTGGAGATAACGGAGACACACAAACACACACACACACAGAGCTGGAGATAACGGAGACACACACACACACACAGAGCTGGAGATAACGGAGAGACACACACACACACACAGAGCTGGAGATAACGGAGACACACACACACACACACAGAGCTGGAGATAGACACACACACACACACACACAGATCTGGAGATAACGGAGACACACACACACACACACAGAACTGGAGATAACGGAGACACACACACACACACAGAGCTGGAGATAACGGGACACACACACACACACACAGAACTGGAGATAACGGAGACACACACACACACAGAGCTGGAGAGACGGACACACACACACACAGAGCTGGAGATAACGGGAGACACACACACACACACAGAGCTGGAGATAACGGAGACACACACACACACACAGAGCTGGAGATAACACACACACACACAGAGCTGGAGATAACGGAGAGACACACACACACACACAGAGCTGGAGATAAGGAGACACACACACACACACAGAGCTGGAGATAACGGAGACACACACACACAGAGAGAGATAACGGAGACACACACACACAGAGCTGGAGATAACGGACACACACACACACACAGAGCTGGAGATAACGGAGACACACACACACACACAGAGCTGGAGATAACGGAGACACACACACACACACAGAGCTGGAGATAACGAGGACACACACACACAGAGCTGGAGATAATGGAGACACACACACAGAGCTGGAGATAACGGAGACACACACACAGAGCTGGAGATAACGGAGACACACACACACACACACAGAGCTGGAGATAACGGAGACACACACACACACAGAGCTGGAGATAACGGAGAGACACACACACACACACAGCTGGAGATAACGGAGAGACACACACACACACTGGACACACACAGGAGAGACACGGAGAGACACACACACACACACGGCTGGAGATAACGGAGAGACACACACACACACACACACACGGCTGGAGATAACGGAGAGACACACACACACACACACACACGGCTGGAGATAACGGAGACACACACACACACACACACACGGCTGGAGATAACAGAGAGACACACACACACACACACACACGGCTGGAGATAACGGAGAGACACACACACACACACACACGGGGCTGGAGATAAGAGAGAGACACACACACACGGGCTGGAGATAACGGAGAGACACACACACACACACGGCTGGAGATAACGGAGAGACACACACACACAGGGGGCTGGAGATAACGGAGAGACACACACACACACACACGGCTGGAGATAACGGAGAGACACACACACACACACACGGCTGGAGATAACGGACACACACACACACACACGGGGCTGGAGATAACGAGAGACACACACACACACACACACACGGCTGGAGATAACGGAGAGACACACACACACACGGGCTGGAGATAACGGAGACACACACACACACACACACACACGGCTGGAGATAACGGAGACACACACACACACACACGGGCTGGAGATAACGGAGACACACACACACACACACACACACACGGGTCTGGAGATAACGGACACACACACACACACGGCTGGAAACAACGGAGAGACACACACACACACACACGGATGGAGATAACGGAGAGACACACACACACACACGGCTGGAGATGGAGAGAGACACACACACACACACGGCTGGAGATAACGGAGAGACACACACACGGCTGGAGATAACGGAGAGACACACACACACGGCTGGAGATAACGGAGAGACACACACACACACACACGGCTGGAGATAACGGAGAGACACACACACACACACGGCTGGAGATAACGGAGAGACACACACACACACACACACGGCTGGAGATAACGGTATCACACACATACACGGCTGGAGATAATGGAGACACACACACACACACAGAGCTGGAGATAACGGAGACACACACACACACACGGCTGGAGATAACGGAGACACACACACACACACGGCTGGAGATAACAGAGACACACACACACACACATACACGGCTGGAGATAATGGAGACACACACACACAGAGCTGGAGATAACGGAGACACATACTCACACTGCTGGAGATAATGGAGACACACACACACATACACGGCTGGAGGTAACAGAGACATACACACACACAGCTGGAGATAACGGAGACACACACACACACGCGGCTGGAGATAACGGAGACACACACACACACACGGCTGAAGATAACGGAGACACACACACACACGGCTGGAGATAACGGAGACACACACACACACACGGCTGAAGATAACGGAGACACACACACACACACGGCTGGAGATAACGGAGACACACACACACAGAGCTGGAGATAACGGAGACACACACACACACAGAGCTGGATATAACGGAGACACACACACACAGAGCTGGAGATAACGGAGAGACACACACACACACAGAGCTGGAGATAACGGAGAGACACACACACACACAGAGCTGGAGATAACGAGACACACACACACACACAGAGCTGGAGATAACGGAGAGACACACACACACAGAGCTGGAGATAACGGAGAGACACACACACACACACAGAGCTGGAGATAACGGAGAGACACACACACACACAGAGCTGGAGATCGCGGAGAGACACACACACACACACAGAGCTGGAGATAACGGAGAGACACACCCACATACACACACATAGCTGGAGATAACGGAGACACATATACACACACAGCTGGAGATAACGTAGACACACACATACAGACCTGGAGATAACGGAGACACACACATACAGACCTGGAGATAACGGAGACACACATACAAATCTGGAGATAACGGAGACACACACACTCACAGCTGGAGATAACGGAGTCACACACACATACAGACCCGGAGATAACGGAGACACACACATACAGACCCGGAGATAACGGAGACACACACATACAGACCGGAGATAACGGAGACACACACATACAGACCCGGAGATAACGGAGACACACACATACAGACCCGGAGATAACGGAGACACACACATACAGACCCGGAGATAACGGAGACACACACATACAGACCCGGAGATAACGGAGACACACACATACAGACCCGGAGATAACGGAGACACACACATACAGACCCGGAGATAACGGAGACACACACATACAGACCCGGAGATAACGGAGACACACACATACAGAGCCGGAGATAACGGAGACACATACATACAGAGCCGGAGATAACGGAGACACACACACAGAGCTGGTGATAATGGAGACACACACACACAGAGCTGGAGATAACGGAGTGAGTAGGAAATAACAGAGACCCAGCAAAAAAAAAAAAAAAAAAATGAAGATAAAGAGGAAACTGGCCAACAATGAATAAGACAAGGTGAGAAAACGTGTGCCAAAGAAAATGAGAGGCAGAAACAATGTTGATAGATGTCCATGCTGAACAAGAAGAGTCTAGACAGCAATAAATGACAGAGATGAGGGGGCAGCTATGAATAAAAAAAAAGAAATGAAAGAGATACTTGACTTTGTTGTATACTTCGAAAAACATAGTTTGAAGGTCATCAAAAGACAGTCAATTACACTTGAGATGAATTGTGTGGAATTAAGGGTTGTTTGGAGTATTTTAAATTATTTTCACTGATGAAATTTTGTCCTAGAATGTTCACACACACACACACACACACACACACATATATAGAACATGTACGTATATATTCACACACACACACACACTAGAATGTTCACAGTCTAAATTAAGGGGCATGAGGAAATTTCCAGAATATTTAATAAAAAGAGTTGACCGAATAATAATGTCACAGTCCCCCGCCCCCGAAAAAAAAAGAAAGAAAGAAAAAAAAAAACTCATCATCCTGGGCTGTCCATTTGAAACAAAGGTATATTTTACCTGTATACTAGGCTTGATGTCATACAGTATTCTGATTGTACCACAGTCTGTATGACCAGGCAGTGATTCAGCTATGGTCATGTAGTCCATCTCTCCATCTGGACAATTTCCCAGCTTTTTGCCATAGATAGTCTTACAAGTTGGACACTGGATACTACCATCCTGCATGAAACAATAATAAAACATATTAGTTATTGATATTAATTACATTTGGACTAATATCCTTATCTCTGTTGTTGTTATGACAATGCTTCGACCATTTCCCTCCCTGCCTTCTTCAGGTACTTATTGATCTGGGTAACCTTGTGAGAATTTTGAACTGAACTCTATGATGGTAGAGTGCCCTTGCTCCATTTATGGGGATATATCATCCTGTTCATTTTTAAGAACTGTTTAATTATTGCTAGTCCTTTTACCACTGAATGTGAATTGGTACAAACCATCCCAGGGATTTGATTTTTTTTATAGCTTAGCAACCATTTCTAGCTGTGACCTGTTCCAGCTAAACAGTTGAACTCTCTGACAGAGAGGAACCCGGACGAGGCTCCGCCAAAGGGCAGAGTCTCGTTCGGGGAGGTAGACTGCCCCTGAACCCATTTATACGGGTTCAAAAGGGAATATTTTTGGCCGAGTCTACGGGCTTGGAGAATCCACGTTATACCAGCCCTGTGCCACATGCAACCCTCGTTTGGGGGTGGGGGTAGCAACTAAATATTCTAGCAACCCTTTGTCAGCTACTTTAAGTCAAAACATAGTTTAGATTGTAAGAGTAATTCTTTTTTTCATTCTTTGCACAAGTGAATACTGCCTTAACAATTTTTGAGAATGACAATGATTTTTCCAGATACAAGTCCTACTGTTTAACCCAAAGCTGGTGGGAGCAAATTGATTCGTATCTTTCCCAATGTTATTTGTGCTTATGGAAAAACTTGGTCCTCCAATTTCTCATTCTGAGTTGATACACACAATTAAAATCACAATTACTGTCATCAAATTCACTTTAAAAAAAAAAAAAAAAGATAAAAAAAAGAAAAAACAAAAAACAAAAATTGAAATTTCAAACCCAGCTAATTTTGCATAAGAATTCCAAATCATTTTTAAATATAAATTCTTAGATTTTAGGATATGAAACAAAATATTAAAAACAATTTTTTTTTTTAGAATGATATTGATATGTCCTGGAAAGGGATATATTTGTTCGAAGTAGCAAAGTGGTTTTGTGCTACTGTAAACGGGTAGGACAATCTAGCAGGTAACTGTAATGGACTTATCCTCGTCGTAGTGGTAGCCAATAGGCGTTCCATGTACCTCCACATCAGTCTGTATTTATGGCTGACACCAGCCAATCATATTACTGAGAGGGGGAACCCAGGTGTATGCATATTCATTACATCAGATATGATTTCAAAAAAAGGAAGATCAGACCATTATTCCATAAACTGTATCCTACCCAAATGATAATTAATATATAAAATTATTATATCTACTAATATACTTATTGAACACCTGAACCTTTAACATTTGGGAAATATTTTTGCTCTAGATATCCATTGAATACTTTGACAAATATTCTGTTCACTTCGACGTACATTAAATTATATAATTTTGCATATGTCAATAGGGTGTATTTTATTTACATTCATTTTAAATTAGGTCTACTGCTAAGAAAGTTGGTCCACTATGTTGTGCTAGACAATCTAAAATCTTACATATTTATAAGTCTTCCATTCATCTATGCTTTGAATATTGCTGCCACATATGGTTCAGTGCTCCTGCTATATAATTAGAGAATCTTGATAAAATCTGAAGTATCCACAATATTATTGGCTTAATCACTTTCCCATTGTAATATAGCTTGTGTGTGCCTTTTGTATACTTTCATGGTAATTGTTCTGATGAGGTTTCTCCTATGGGACCTAGACTTTGTAAATTTACATACAGTACCAGATTGGCAGCAAGTTCTTATTATTTTATAGGTGAATTGGCTAGATGTAACTAAGATCTAACAGCAAGTTCTATGCTAAGAGTTTCTTCTCTTGCACTTATCACTTATAGCACTCTCTTCCAGCTTCATGCTTCCAACCAACTTTGATCTTCAAAAATTTAAATGCAATGTTAATCTACTGTGTTCTTGATTCCTCTTCTTTTATTGTTCTCACTCCTTAATAATGTTTCTCTATTTTGTTATTCTTTCACACTCAGTAACCACTTGTGTCTTAGTGGCTTTACTGCCTTGCTTGGGGTGAAATGATTAAAAGAAATGTTTGACATTGTCTCTGAAGATAATAAGCAAAAATTTTATATACAAGGGTGAATTAATGAGCCTGCAACTTAACATGGAGATATGAGCTGAAATTTTCACTGTATAATGTTATCTTAATATTTGCCACAGAATTAAGTGCATTTGACAAGGAATGAGATTATAATAAAAATGTCAATCTTTAACTTTCATGCCTGCAAAAAAATGGTATGTCTAAAGGACAGTTTTTCCCTTGACACTGCTATTATTTTAACTACCTTCACTCCTTGATAATGTTTGTTTTAAAAAGTGATGATTAGAATTTTAATAAAGCCTAAACATATGATGAAAGTGGATACTTTTTTTTGTTTCTTGAGAATTTACAAAAATATTTAAAAAAATTATTAATTAGATTGTTTTTTACAACATTCTAATAACTAATACATTTTAATTAAAACTAATGCAATGCAATATTTATCATTTACCAATTTGTAAAGAAATAAATATGAAAACAATTTTTTATTAATAGATTTACAAACATTTATTGAATTATTAAAATATGTGAACCAACTATAAGGAAATCCTTATTTACCATTTTATAAATTTTGAATCAATTGGTAATTAGCCAATGTTTTACCAACCATTCAAAAAAACAGTATACTAAATAGTGTAAATAAAGAATCTATTAAATAATGTTTATTATTTTTTCTTGCCAATTCTCAAGAATAAAGGATTTGTATAAATTCACTTGCACTTATTAAAATTCCAAAAAAAAAAAAAACATTGACAAGGATTGAAGTTAGTTAAAATAATAGCAGTGTCAAGGGAAAAAAATGTCCTTTTGACAAAGTTTTTTTTGTAAGTACAAAGGTTAAAGATTGCAAAATAAATTTTGTGCAAAATAATTGCCTCTTTTCATCATTAGGATGCAAACTAACCAATATATATATATACATTTTTATTGTTTAAGATGTACCGTATTTATGGAGAAGAGTGTTGAATATTGAGTAAAATGCATCTGTAGATATATGCCTCATTCACCCAAATATGTCTAAGAAACACAATCATGCCATTTCACAATTGGAGAACAGTATCAGTCCATGTCACTTCATAAACAGAACTATCATGGCCAGCAAGGAACATATCTAGTGATATACATGTAAATAAATGACAGAAATAATATAAGTAACATACCTTATGTCCATTATTATACATGGCGAAAAGGCACAGTCTGTGGAAAAGGTGTCCACATCTTTTCAATTTAACACACACCTTGTCTTTGCCATCTCCATACCCTGATGGTTGGTCAACCTTTTCACAGCAAATACAACAATCCTGAAATTAGATGAATCCAATAAAAGATTATTATTTACCATTCTAATAAATCATTAGTATTTAGGTAGGTAATTTTATTTATTTATATATTTATATATATAAGACAAAGGAAAACTTATCTTAGCTAACACTTTTTGTCCTGATTGACTTCATCAAGGCAAATGTTTTGCCTTGATAAAGTCCATCAGAAAACAGAACATGTTATTTTTGTCTTCAATTGACTATGAAGAGCATGGGTCTTCTGTGTATAAATACTTTGAAAAAAAAATGTCCATTTTTAAAACATTTACAAAAGAATTCAGAAAATATTTTGGTATCAATGTAAGGTGATATTCTAAAAGTAATACTTCCTGTTTATTTATGCGGTAACCACAAGACATACAATAGCACAATTGGATGGGGTAAGTTTTCAGATATAAAACACTATTTTTCCACTATCATTACCACTGGCTAGGCAGTTTTTATCAGCAAAGAACAAGAGCCTACATACTGCACTTGTAAAAATCAGCACCAATGGAGCTGATCCACTTTTTCACACCAGTGATGATGGGGTGATTGTCAGGAAAATGGTGACTGCATAGTCTATAATTGAGTGCTCTGAACAGATAATAGTTGGAAAGTACAAAATTTGGATTGTATACAACATGAACCATGGTCTTCAAGTTAGTGTTATTATCAGTGATCTTCAATCTTGTGTGTGTCCTGGCATTATCCATGGTCTTCAAACCAGTATAGAGCCTGGTATTATCTGTAGTCTTCAATCCCAGGTGTGGCCTGGCATTATCCATGGTCTTCAAACCAGTATAGAACCTGGTATTATCTGTAGTCTTCAATCCCAGGTGTGGCCTGGCATTATCCATGGTCTTCAAACCAGTATAGAGCCTGGTATTATCTGTAGCCTTCAATCCCAGGTGTGGCCTGGCATTATTATCTTCTCCAGCCTGAAGCTGGAAACTCAGGCCTTCAGTATCATGAGTATGCTCTGTTTATGGTTTGTCTGGTTTCACAATAGTTTCCAAATGTTTTTTTTTCTTCTTTGGACAGCATTTTGGGAATGATAATTTGCTTGTGCCTCAAACTTTATGTGATAAAAAGTACATTTAAAAATAAAAAAAACAGAGAGCAGGTTAAAAAGGATATAACTGCAGATTTGAAGTCAGAACATTATCATTGATAACTCTCTCCTCCAATTTGTGGACCCTAGTTACTACATATTTAATACTCGATATAATGCAAAAAATATCACAATGATAAAAATCAGTCAATAATTATTTATATCTATTTATACTGGGAATCATGCATGCAATCCAAAATAATATTTCAATTTTGAAATCATATTTATTTTTTGTATAAGAATTCTTTGAAACTATTTCTAAACTGCTATCCTCTTCTGATGCACCTATGACATTTTCCTAGAGAATTATGTGTGTTCTATTCAAATATGGGATCCAGGAAACCGTCACATTCAGCCTCACAGTGATTCAGCAGATTCTGAAAGATTGGCATTTCTGTTCTTTGAGCATCTGTGAGACCCACTTGACACTAACTTTGTGATATGTAAAAGAATCCAAAGACATCTATATTAGTGTCTTTCAATATTGACATAATCTCTATCTATAAAAGGCAGGATGTGTGTGTGTGTGTGTGTGTGTGTGTGTGTGTGTGTAATGAACACACGACCGCAATTTTCGATGGATTTGCACCAAAGTTTACATGCACATGCTCCAAGTTAGACTTACTTTGCATTTCCCAACTCCCATCGATAGTGGAAATAATTAATTTTTTCATTCTTCTATGGCAGTTTTCATGTAGTTTGCGGCCATTTTCTACTTTAGGCAAGAAGATTCTATTGGTCAGCGTGAGAGCCAACAGCTGACTGACACGAATGTTAACTAGCATGCAAGAAAAAAAAAAATAAAAAAAAATCGATAGCTGCATTCGTCACAAGTGGGAAAAATGTAAATCTGCATGGCACTTTACTCCAATTGGCTCATTCGCTTGCTTAAACTCAACGTTGATTCTGATTTTGCAGAACTGGGTTGGGTGTGAAAAAGTATTTGTTGTTAACATTCTTTTTTCATTCGGTTTTTCCAGTTACAAGTCCTTTTTTAAAGCTGATCGTTTTGTGTTCATTTTGTTTAGTTCTTTTTTCGTAACAGATTTAATGTTTAATATAGAGCTTAGAAAAAATTCGCAGTGTGAGATAGGCAAGAAGTAAGGCATGTAGCAACAACAGCACGGCAAAGGGCACTCCTTTAAAGGCAAGGAAGGGCAAAAATATTTTAAGCCAAGTGATAGCGATTGCTGTATGAGTTGTACGATTCTTGAATCAAGCATGGGCAACGCCGAGCTATGCTGCTAGTCCTTAATAAATATTACTTGCTCTCTTTCAATGTGACAAATTTGAATCTTTATTCATTGACTAGTTTTCACTATATATTACTTAACCTTATGATACTTTTTAACACAATGCTCAAATCGTTTAATACTTTTCAATTGCTGAGGAAACAACATAGATTGAAAATGAAAGTAGGGTTTTCAACAAGACTTCAACTCAAATCCCCTATGCTTGGGAGTCAGTCTAATACAGATGACATGTTATCTTCACCAGCTAAGTAAAGTTAAATTATCTCCCTTAATCCTGACCGCCATACAATTCAAGGGAGATAATTTCACTTTGGATACTAAAGTTGACTTAATTTTAAAATAAATAATAATAATATTTTTTAAAAGAAAAAAAAATTATTTTCTCCACACAAGAAGATCAAACTAAAGTCATTAAAAAAAAATACTATCATGCAAAGAATTAACAGTTTTTTGCTTTTTTTTAAAACTATGACTTTCGCTGTCAATTCCCACAAATAAATATTAAAAGAAATGGTTTTATAGCTTTTTGTGATATTAAAATAAAACTGCATATTCTTCATAATTTTCCAGTTCCTAAGAATTCATAACCTTTCATCAAAACTTGAAATATTTCCAAATGATAACAAAACACCAGATAAAAATAACTAAACATACAATCAAGATTAATAGAATGCTTTTTACATTTTCATGCAGTTTGAATTTCTGCTTTAACTATATTATTAATTTCTATTCTGTCTCTTTCAGTTTTTAGATCACTGAATTTAAGCAATGTCGAGCCTGGCCAGTAACTAGATGGGTGACTGCTTGGCAATACCTGGTGCCAGTTTTCAGTCCAAATTGTTGGTGACAATGGCTCTCCATTACTTCTTGTCCATTATAACTCTCAGCAACGTTTTATTATTTACTATTTGTACTTGGATATATAGCTGTCATAAAAACTTTAATAAAAATAGTTTAAATTATTATAATAATATTAGTTATTATTATACAGTTCCCTTTTCAGGGCTGCCCTCCATTCAAATTGTTAACCCTCCCCCCAATTTGGGGATGTGCCTCAGTTGCACCCAATTGTTGCTACTAATATTGATTTTCAGGTGAGCTAACTTTAAACTTAAACTGATCCAATTGAACGGTAAAAATTCCCAGTAATGAAAGACCCGGGCAAAGACAGGTTATAATGCTAGTTTCTTATATATAGCTGCATTCTGAATGCCACTCAAGAGAGAAGGCTATAGATACCCTATAGGCCCCTACAGTACTGTTTTATTTTTATATTTGCAGTTTTATATTGCATGAAACAATAAAATCTTGTTTGGAAGCTTTAATTATTATACAAGACATACACTATTATTTACTGTTTCAACTACAGGTTCCCTGTAGGTTGACTACAGTATAGATTATTTTTTGGTTTTAGTCTTTTGTTAGCCTTTGTATTGCATGAAACAGTAAAACAAATCTTGTTTGGAAGTATTACTGATTAGTTTAAGCTTTGCTCTACCTTTGATAACACAGCAATATATACACGGAATGAGCTGTTTACATAGAAACCACCCCATAAAATAAACCTGTCACGCGGCAGTGGCCTGGTCCCAAGGATATTGGATTAAAGAGGTAGGAATGTATTTGTATGTATGGTCATTGTCATGTAGCCAAATTAACTTTCTCAGAAAAAAAAAAAAAAAACTTTTCTCTTTCAATGTGTCATTCAAATGTGCAGTTACTCACTGTAACAGTAAGCAATAAACATTTGCTTAGATGCCATCATCTGGGAATAAAGAATTCCCTTTGAACTGCACATGGATTCCATTTAGGGTAAGAAATTGATGTCAGCAGTAGTTCTAACTACAATTCTTTTTTCATAACTAGAATTTTTTGTAACATGCTGATGAGTGTTGAAATCCTCAAAGAATTTAGTATTGTTGAGTTATCGCTAACATTTTTATCAAGATTTACAAACTCTATATTTTGTGCTGCTTCGATAAACGGAAGTTACCATCACGAGTCCCCGACTCGAAATGAAAACTGCATGTCTACACGACATAGGCTCGGTTTAGAGATACTTCCGTTTGGGATAAACAAAAAAAAATGAAAAGAATAAAATCAACCAATCGGACCCTCTCCACGTATTCAAAAAAATTGCCATCTGGAGCCGATAGGCGTGTATAAGAACACGGGAAAGTCAAAGTTTTATTACTCAACGCCGGAGGCAGAAGGGTCACGATTATTCGCTCCTGACACACTTTATTTGACGAAAACGAAGCATGTGACTGCTGCTGCTATTGAACTCTCGTCCGACGCCTTGTCAAAGGGTACCTTTCCCTCAACTTCTTATGGTTCTTCTTTTTTTTACTTGTTCTTATTTTCCTCACTAAAAAAAACTATAAAATATATCTACAGTCTTTCTTGTTCTTTGAGTCTGAATTTCATTGTTTGCAACCAAAATCTTTAAATTTTTCCACATTGTTTTCACATCGCCCACGTAACTAAATAACAAAATCCTCAAAAATTTAGTATTGTTGAGTTATCGCTAACATTTTTATCAAGATTTACAAACACTACATTTTGTTCAATTTCAGAAATCAATCAATGAAATTTAAATAAGCTGATTTGTTTCACAAACCAATTGATGAATTTTTAATAAACTAATTTGTTTGGAAAAATATTTTAATAAAAATCCCTACTTCACAAAATAATGATTTCTTTAATTTTATAGGACTTCATGGTAAACAATATTTTTTAAGAAAATTTCTTTTTTCCCCTTTTTATCAGCAAAGAATAAATTCTTAGCATTTCTTACTCTTGAGCAGGTAACATACAACTGGCCATGCATAAATATTTCTTTCTCAAGCCAAATTCCAATTTTTTGAAGCATTTAGCCTCATGATTTGTTTATAGTTCTTGTAAACGCAGGGTAAACTGGAAACTGGATTCTTGTATATAAAAATTTAAAGATATGCAAAAAACAATATTGCATTTTTATCAAATGAGTATTTGTTATTTTAATCATTAAATTGTTTTTAAAATAGTGGGAGTACTTTGTATATTAAATAATAAAACTTTTCATTTTTTCCCCAAAAATTAATGAAAATTTATTGTACTAGTAAAACCAACTGTACTTTGCACATCCTTGCCTGTTTACACTTCTTCCCAAAATTTGGTTTTGATCAATCAATGTATGGCTATTTTAGCAGGTGTGACAGACAGATGGATGGACAAATGGAACCCACAGAATTTTATATATATAGATAGATAAATGCATTTTTTACCATCAAAACTAAACTTACTTTTTTTTATCTTAGCCCAAAAGACAAAGGCAAACATTTAATTTCTGACTCTTGTTTGCTTACAGAAGTCTATTCTGAATCTATTTCCCTAGTTTTAGTAAGTTTCTTAAGGCTTATAAATGACGTGACCGATTGCACAAACAATAAAAAGCTAAGCAAACTTTGAAGACACTTCTATGATTTTTGGAATATATTCAGTAAAGTGGCTTAAGACTTTTTTCCTTGCCTTTCTATGTAATTGGAAATAGTCTGACAAAATAAATTTGATAAAGAGATCAGGTTTGCTCTCTTGTTTGATGATTATTTACAGGTGGCACAGTGGAGTAATAGATAACGACTCGGATTGAGGAATCAGAAAACCGAGTTTGAATTCCAGTCGAATCCATTACATTCACTTATGTACTAATACCCTTGGTAAAAGTATGAATCCCCTTCCCATGGGTAAATAGCAGGACAGACCGTGTTCTATAGCCTTGGATAGCAACCAGTCTACCACAGAAAGAAATGGCAACCTACTGCGGGAAAAAATCTGCCTCATCAGTTATGTATCAAAAGATACATGATCATTAAGCATGTATATAAATCCATGGCACAGAAATGACTGACTGACCATTGGGAAAGGTATGAATCCTCTTCTTCTCTTCCCAGCTTTGGGTAAATAGCAGGACAGACTGGGTTCTATAGCCTTGGATGGCAACTGGTCTACCAATAGAAAAGAAATGGCAACTTATAAAAGGAAAAAATCTGCATCATCAGTCATGATTGTCTAAGCGTGTATCATGCATGGCACATAACTGGTTTTACCTTTGGGAAAGGTATGAATCCTCTTCTTCTCTCCTCAACTATATGGGTAAATAGCAGGACAGACCGTGTAATTATAGCCTTGGATGTTAACGGTCTACCACAGAAAAAATGGCAACCTTTTGGGAAAAAATCTGCCTCGTCAGTTATGTATCAAAAGATACATGATCATCTAATATATATATTTGCATAACAGAACTGACTGAGATGCTTATTAAACTGTCTTCCTTTTTTCGGTCTCTTTCCTTTCAGTCAGCATCATAGGTCCAAATAAAGTAACATCTTTTAACCATAACCAAAAATTAACTGCATTCTATTTGCTACATTCTATCACTAAACGAAAAGATTATTGTCCAAAGACCACAAGCTGTAATGAAATATTTTTATTTAGATATCCCTGATAAAATCCAAAGAAAAATCTGCAATATTATTGGTCCTGACCTGGCATCTCAGTTTCAGTCATTTTCCCATTATGTAGATTCCCTGTGCCTTTTTTATAAATACTTTTGTTATGACATTTGTATAACGCTTGTAGTTCTGGTTAATAATACTGTGAGGAAACAGTGGAATGAAAGGTCGAGTGAAGAACATGTTTAATTACATGAGAGGTATAGATTAATAATACAATAATAGAGAATACTGTAGGTCAGTGTTCATACAACTCAAACACTATGCCTTGCAACCCACTATTAGCAGACGTTCTACTCATAGCAGATGGATGAATCCATGTTCAACAATTAGTGCAGAGAAGGTAGATCGTATTTCTACACAATTTTTATGGTAATTGTTCTGATGAACTTTCCTCTATGATACCAAGACTTTGTGAATTTATAAGTCAGTGGTTTTCAACCAAGGTTCCGCGGAATCCTAGCATTCCACCAGTAAAGCCCAGGGGTTCTGCAAGAAGTTGCACAAGTACTATGATTGACAGTAATTTTTAATTCTCCTGTGCAGATATGTGTGGAAGATGATCTTCATGTGTGTCTGTCAAAAACTGTTTGTAACCCAATATTAAAGATTTGTGCAAGAAACATCAGGCTCAATTTTCTCATTGAATTTTTAATGAAAATAAATGTAATCCATTTAAACTATTTTTTTTTTTAATACATGTAGAAGCAAGATTAAAATTGCATATACAAAAATACAATATTTTTACAGTTTGTCTTTGTATTTTTTTGTAAATAAATCTGAAGATGAGTATTTTATTTTAATTTTTTATTTTTAATTGAAAGCTTTTTTTTACATAAGACAATTTATTGTAGGGGTTCCTCAAGCCACTGGAATGTTTCCTCGTGGTTCCGCTCCAGCAAAAAGGTTGAAAAAACCACTGTTATAAGCAGTATTAGATTGGTAGCAAGGTTTCATCATTTTACAGTTGAAACAGCTAGATGTAACCATAAGTTCTATGCTAACAGTAAATTTTCTCACTTGTGAAACTCTTCTATCTTCAAAAAATTTAAATGTAATGTCAATTGTTATCTTCTGTCTTCGTAAACTCTATTCTTTTATTGTTCTCTTTCCTTCTCGCTCATAGAATTCACTTCCGGCTTCTTGCTTCCTCATCAAGGTTGATCTTAAAAAATTTAAATGTAATGTCAATTGTTATCTTCTACAATAAACTCTATTCTTTTTTATTGTTCTCTTTGAAAGAACTTCATAGAATTCACTTTCCGCTTCTTGCTTCCTCATCAAAGGTTGATCTTAAAAAATTTAAATGTAATGTCAATTGTTATCTTCTGTCTTATTAAACTCTATTCTTTTATTGTTCTTAATTCCTTGTAATTGGCTCATAGAATTCATTTTCAGACTTTTTGCTTCCTCATCAAGGTTGATCTTAAAAATTTAAATGTAATGTTTTAAATGTTATCTTCTGTTTTTAAAACTCTATTCTTTTATTGTTCTCATTTTCCTTTGCACTTCATAGAATTCACTTTTCTCTTCCAGCTTTCCTCATCAAGGTTGATCTAAAAAATTTAAATGTAATGTCAATTGTTATCTTCTGTCTTCGTAAACTCTATTCTTTTATTGTTCTCTTTCCTTCGCTCATAAATTCACTTCAGCTTCTTGCTTCCTCATCAAGGTTGATCTTAAAAATTTAAATGTAATGTCATTTGTTATCTTCTGTCTTCGTAAACTCTATTCTTTTATTGTTTCTTTTTTCCTTCGCTCATAGAATTCACTTCCGGCTTCTTGCTTCCTCATCAAGGTTGATCTTAAAAAATTTAAATGTAATGTCAATTGTTTTCTTCTGTCTTCATAAACTCTGTTCTTTTATTGTTCTCTTTTGTTAATAGTGATAACAGTTTCTTTTCTTGCACTTCTCGCTCATGGAATTCACTTCCGGCTTCATTAAGGTTGATCTTAAAAAATTTAAATGCAATGTCAATTGTTATCTGCTGTCCTCCTGATTACTCTTCCTTTGTCCCCACTCCTTGTTTCTGTTTTCTAATTCTTCCACACCCAGTAATCCCTTGTGTTAGCATGTCTTTACTGCCTTGCTTGAGGTGAACTTTGTCCTCTTGATTCTTGATCTTTTATTGTTTTTGCTCCTTAATAATGTTTCTCTTTTCTTATATTATTTCACACTCTGTGATCCCCTGCATCTTAGTGGCTTTATCACCTTGCTTGGGGGCAAAAGGATAAAAAAAAAAAAATTGGCATAACATGCAAAGATACTGCTGGCTAGTTTTGCATCAAGATAATATTTCAAAGAATAAAAGATAAAAATAAAAGAAAAAAAATGTGAAAACAAAACAAGGAAAAAGATACCTCTTCTGTTGGTGGCTGATTTACAGTTGTCATGTAATTTTTCAGTACATCTTCAGCAGAGTGGCCTATATTAAAAAAACAAACCAGAATATAAATATATGCTTTATCAGGAAATCAATATCCATTATCCACAACATAAACTACAATGTTTTCTGTCATATAATGGTAGGTACCTACACTAATTCGGTATACATAAGTTTAAAATGAATTTTTAAAAATTAAAAAGCTTTCTTAAAACTTTCATTTTAGTTTTAACTGAAACCTAGATTATTTAAAATTTACTATTTCCAGTAAGCAAAATACTCTGTGATGTATTTTAAACAGAAATTATATTGATCGAAATCAATTTTTTTTTTTCAGTAAAAATTGATAAAATCAGCCATTTTGACACATTTGTAAAGAAAATTCAAAAATCTTGCAAAAATAAAATATACATTTATGAAATATTAGCAGATTTAAAGTTAAATTAATCTGATTTGAAACAAATATTACTTACTTATAGCATAAAATGTATACAAGCATTTCTTAACCACTGGGTGTTGTTTTTCTGATGTGTTAATTGATTTATTAACAGCTGAATGACCACCAAACGTGTTCATAGTTATGTATGGTGGAGCAGACAATAAAGTTTATATGAGGATTTTTTTTCATAAGGGAACAACTCTTAAAACCTGTGACCTTTTAATAATAATGTTAGGTTTGAACATCCATACTTAGAAATTCTGCATATATATATATATACACACACACACACACACACACACACATATATGTATATATATATATATATACAAAAGAAATCCAAATTCTTTTAAAAATATTCAGGGCCGTCAGATTGTAATAAGATTTATCATATATGATTAGTAAATATAGTTTTACTTAATAACAATATTTCCTAAGAGTTACTCCAATGAAACTGAATTTTAAAAGATTTAAAAACTTTATAAATTATTCAATTTGAAAGTGTAAAAAAAATGAAAACAAATCTTGTAAAAATTCATTTTTCATCAAAAAAGTTTTTTCTTCAGACAATATTGTGTTTAATATATATTATTCATAAAAACAATGAAAAGCTTTTCTAATTAAATAATGTCTTAGTTTTATTGCATGTTTTTATTTTTTGATTCAGAACAGATTTTTGGTAAGACAAGGGTCTGGTTTTGAAAAAAAATTGGTGATTTAAATTCTTCAAAGAATTCTGCTTTTAACTAATATAGTCACTAAAAATTATTACTTGGAGTTTCTAAAGGTTTCATAAAATTAAATAAGGGGGTGAAACACATGTAAAAAAAAAAAATATATTTTTACTAAGATTTTCTAATAAAAATTTTTTTTAAAATAATGACTAAGTGACTAAGTCCTGAAAATTATATTAAAATCTGACAATTATTTGATTTTTGCAAGAATGTGTCTGTCACCGCAAAAAGGAGGTTAAAATTTGCTATGCTAAAAGTTAGTACATCTAATGCTAGAAAAACAAATTTTTTTAATCAAACTTTTGAATGTTCTAAAAAGGAGTAAAAAATTTAATTAAATAATCAAAAAATACTTTGATCCTTCCTCTTAATAATAACAAAGATGTTGATGATAAAACAATGTTTTCTTTATGTTTGGAGTATTTTTTCATCATGGTATGGTGATTTTTTAGCGATTTCATAGAGGTTCCTATATAACAGTTATATTTTTTGGGGCTAAAAATAAAAAAAAAAAAAAAAAAAATTCATTTAACAGCTGTCTATATTTCTGAGATGAGGTGTTGTAACTATTTACACTATTTACATTATTCAGACTATTTTCAGGTGTCACCTGAATGTTCTGAGAACCCGCTTTGATTCACTAATGCACATTAGTGCAGTGAGTGCATTATCTTGCTGGAACAAACCACCACTCTCAGGCGAGTATAAAAAGGATGGAATTGGTCTGCAACAAGATCTATATAGATCTCACCTGTTAAGGCAGATTCAAGTTTCATTAGTGGTCCTTTCCAAATTCAACAGAACATAACTCATGACACAACAAAGCTTGTACAAGACCTTGCTGACAGGTTGGTGCCATAGTTTCACGCAATCACTTCTAAGTAAGGAAAGGATTTATTAGTCACTTCTATGTACAAACTTGACCATCACTTGCCCAAAAGAGCTAGAAACAAAACACTGCACTTTTATTCAATGGTCCAATGACAATATCATCTGGCCCAGGTGAGGTTTGGTAACCAATACTAAAAAAAAAAAAAAAAAAAAAAAAAAAATGGTGCAGCTACTGATATCTGAGGATACCTGTCTACTAGAATGGCTAGTTAATCCTTGTTGCAGATGCCTGCCCAGACACATTTGGTTTGTTCAACACCCACAGACCCCACCTGTGGTTTATACTGTAACTATGCTGAGCAAACCTTAGTTTCTAGTGTGATCAACAATCTGAACAAGGCCAGCACACTTAATCACTTGATGATAACTTGTGACTTTATGATAGCACAACCATTGAGAGCTCCCAAAGGGTTATGTTTACTCAAATTTCCCTCACAAGGTATGGTTTTCAGGCAGTTTCCAAAAGGTGCCACATGCTGGGATCACTTCCTCCAGACCAATAACATCAAGAAGTCACCTTGACAAATTGGGTGTGGTGAGATTCAAACGCAGGTCTCATAGTCAGAAAGTGAATGTTCTACCCACTTCGCCACCAATACTGTAGTGCCAATGATAGCCAATAAATATGAAACTTCATGAAATGCAGTGTATGATGTACAGGTTAAGTGGACCTGTATTAAATTGAGATTTATGCAATGTTCCTTTTAATGGACAGTGGTCATCCATGTCAGTAACCAGTGGGTACCTAATTTTCACATGCTACTGATGCTGGTCCAAAATTCATATATTCCTGGCATACCCTTGCTACTGTTGTTTGAGAAAAATGTAGAACTGTTGACATCTTAGAGGGATGCATCCTTCTGGTCCCAATCATTCTGCAGTCAAACAATGTTAAGTTCTGTCAATATCCCATGGCTGCCACAGCTACCCTACCTCTTTTTTACATCATATATAGAAACAGGGTTCAATCAGTAACCTATGATGCTAGCAGGGAACCATCTAGTGTACTTTAATTTTTTGGCATTTCTGTTTACTAAAATTTCATAAATTTGTACTAAATGCTTAAAAAACTTAAAAAAAAAAAAAACCAGCGAAATACACTTGCCTCTCAAATAAATGGAGGGTATACTTATTAAAATTTTGAAAATTAAGAGATTCCACACTGTGCACTTTATTTAGACCCCACTCCTTATTAAAATTGCATCATAGCAAACAATGAAGATTGTGGAAAAATGAAAGTTTACGGATCTTGATTTTGTATTAATAGTATATTCTATTATCTTACCTTTTTTGACACATACCATCCAGTTTTTTTAGTTATCAATACATATTAATGCTACTTTTTAGTGGCCAGCTGTCTCTCTACCCTGCTCCCTTTATCTGAAACATTCCAGGGTCAGAGCTCTTATTTGATACTCTTTTAGTAAGAAGAGAGCAGAGCCACCCATGCATGGAGAGTCATAGAATAAGGAAAGATGTAGATTCAGCAAAGAGTAGGAAACATGAATGAAATTTGTTACAGTTAATATCCAAGAATATTTTTCTTATTATTTACTGCTGAAATGAAGGTTTCATTTTCTATGGCTTATCAACCCATTGCTGGTTATTTAAAGCCAGAAAATATTTTTCGATTGTAATAATTTTTCTTTTTTTTTTGGTAGATAATGATTTAGTGATACAAGTCTTACTAATTAATCCATAGCTGGGGGAGAAAAGTGGTTTTATACCTTTCCCAAAGGTATTTGCACGTAAGTGAATATAACGAGCACAACTGGAATTGAACTCGGCTCATTGATTAACAATCCTGAGCCATTATCTATTACACTACCTGCACATCTAAGCAAACAGCACCTGGTATTCCTAAGCAGTCACCCATCTAAGTACTGACCAGGCTTTATGTTGCTGAACTTCAGTGATTATGTGTGAACTAGTATTTCAACGTGATATGGCATTGAAATTAAGGATCTTATATTATAGAAGGCAGACATAGAATAGACTGACTGAAATGGAGGTCCTTTAAATATAGTAGGTGTTCTCCCTTGAGAACATAAGGATATCAAGTCTTATAAATTCTTTCATCACTGGTTAATATTTGCTATTTAGTAACTAATCAATAAATCTAAATGAATAATTAAAACAGTGATTCTCAACCATCGTGCTGCAACATACTAGTGTGTGATGAGAGTATGAATGGATCCAAAATCCCTTCATAAATGATCCTTCTAATTTCAGATTTCAGTTATATGAAGAAGAAAACTTAGCCACCATTTCTAGTGATCAAGGGCTCAAAATAAAACATTCGACAGTACCCTTTGATATATTTTATATTTCAATACAATTCCCACATTAGCTAAAAAGGCATTATCAGTTTTATTGCAATTTCTACTTCTTGCTTATGTGAATTAGGCTTCTCAACCCTAAATAACATCAAAATAAGAAGCAAGAAAGACTATGCTCAACTGAAGAAAAAAAATGAGGGTCTGCTTATTGCACATTTGACCAAACATTGAAGAAAGCACGAAAAAACACCAGGCATAGGTTTCACACTAAATAAGCTGCACAAATAGTTGAATAGAAACATTGAAATAAATTAAGTTCATATTTAGTGTGTGTATTTTTTTGAAATCTATGGTTTTATTTCATAACATTTAAATGTATACCCTTTAAAAATTTTGCTAATTGTGCCGTGATATTTTCATTTGCTCCTAGGTGTGCTGTTGCTTAAAAAGGTTGAGAAATACTGAATTAAAAGGACAAATACATTGAAAGAAAGTTTATGTGTTTAGGTTTGAATACAAATTAAAGTGGTAGCATCTATAATTATGGAGAGTCATTATCATTCCAAGAGTTGTTTTGAATGATTTCAATGATAACTGAAGAAGGTTGTATGAGGAAATGCTGAAAATTTATGAGTAAGACCCACTTCTCCAATGACCAGAATTTTATCTTGAAAGGATTAAAGAAATCTGAAAAAAGATGTCTCAAATGTGTTGAACAACAGGGTGAATATTTGGAAGACCATGTATGTTTCAAGTTCCTACATCATTTTTTTTTTAGTCAGGCAAAGGACTTTCCAAAACCCCTTTGTAGAGTGGATCAACATAAATAATATAGCAAAAAGAAAAGCAACAAAAAAAAATGTTCAGTAAGTTGAAGAACTCTTCAAAAAATGATAGACATAGAATGGATTCTTAAACATTATGGTATCAACATCGAAGCAACACAAAAGAATGAGATTGAAAGAACTCTTGGAATGATAAATTCTTCTCAAAATTATAGAAGGTAGACATAGAAAAGAAACATTGATGGTACCAAATCCTCCAAAAGAATACAAAGAATGAGTTCAATAGTCTGAAGAACTCTTGGAATGAAATGACTCTTCTCAAAATTATAGAAGGTAGACATAGAATGGATTGACTGAAACATTATGGTAACAAGAAAAGCAATACAAAGAATGAGTTCAATAGTCTGAAGAACTCTTGGAATGAGAATGACTCTTCTCAAAATTATAGAAGGTAGACATAGAATAGATTGACTGAAACATTATGGTAACAAGAAAAGCAATACAAAGAATGAGTTCAATAGTCTGAAGAACTCTTGGAATGAGAATGACTCTTCTCAAAATTATAGAAGGTAGACATAGAATGGATTGACTGAAACAGAGTTGGTAACAAGAAAAGCAATACAAAGAATGAGTTCAATAGTCTGAAGAACTCTTGGAATGAGAATGACTCTTCTCAAAATTATAGAAGGTAGACATAGAATGGATTGACTGAAACATTGTGGTAACAACAAAAGCAATACAAAGAATGAGTTCAATAGTCTGAACAACTGTAGGAATCTTTCTGATATTTCCAATTGGTAATTTATTTACACAACAATGAATATCTTTTCCAACTTCAGTAAAAAGTTGAGAAATCTGTTTTAATGTCAGATTCCAAAAACAGAAGAACTTTTCCATTTCTTCTTTTAAAAGTTTAAATTTTACTTTTTTTTATTATTAGTAAAATAAATATAATAAAGTTGATATAGGTTGACGATCCCATATCTGAACCTCTGAAAACTGAATATTTTTAGCGTGGAGTTTGTCGTGCAGAAAGCTTGCCTACTTGATCCACACCACTTATATGTGGTGACAGGTGTCATGATCAGCCCGACTAGACCCGCCACACCCCCAGCCTGGCTGAGCGACCTTAGCCCGCCAAACATCAGTTGTTGTTAAGCCCTTGTATTGGGTAAACATGAATGTGCTATTCACAGATTTTTTTTCTTTTCATAATTTTTCTGAATTTATACAATGAAAATGTTAATAAAGTACTGCAGATATTTTTAGTTTATTGTTTGATGCTGTTCATTTTTTTAAGTTATACAAGGCATTTTTTGTCTGTAATAAATAAAATTTACACTATTTACATTATTCGGACTATTCTAAAATTACTATATGTTCCAAATACGCTCATGGGGCAACTAAAAGCAGGTGCTTTCTTTATTTTTTTTGATGAAAGATGTTTTTTTTCATTTTTGTCATCGAATCCTTGTCTTTTCCTAAACTGTAATCTCTTTCTTTCTTTTTTTTGATGGTAATCTCTTTATCAAAACATTAGAAATTTGTTATCAGTTAAAAAATTCATCGACGAAGAAGACTTTTTGACGGCAAGGGGACAAGGTAAATTAACATCAAGGGGCAGAAGGCATTTGACGTCAAGAAGAGAACATCAAGAAGGCATCAGTTACCAGCCAGCTGTAGTGAGCCTAGAAGTTCACAAGTGAATATTCTCCTGTGGTTGGACAACAAAAGAACATAAAGAATTCTAAGAACTTTTTCCAAACATGAACAGTGTGAATTTAAAAGGGATTTTTCTAAAAATATAATATGTCTTGGAGACACTCATGGGTCAAGTAAAAGTAAGTGTTTTTGTTTTTTTCTGAAAGGTGGTTGCACCTTTGTTTTCTGCCTTTTTGAATTGTTTTCTTTTTCTCATCGAATCCTTGCCTTTTTTCTAAACTGAAATTGTAATTTTTTTTTTTTACATTTTTTGATGGCAATCCTTTTTATCATAAATTTGTTATCCTGCTTTAATAGGTGCACAAAAGGAAAATTTTGTATTTGTATCTTTTTTCATACTTGTGTAATAAATGTTTTTCCTTTAAAACTTTATGTAGTTGTTGAGTCTTATTTTGTGATTTGTGCTATTATGACTTGTGATTTCTACTAACTCGGTTTTTGTGTTTGGCACAAAAACTTAGATTTAGTAAGGAATAAAATTTTTATATATAAATTTGCAAATAACATTTATGTAAAACAAAAACAAACAAACTAATTATAACACTTGTGTTATTCTTTTTATAATTCAGTATTAATCTTATCTGAAAACATAATATAACCAAATATATTTCATTCTGGGTTCATTTGGAGATGAGTGCCTTAGAGTGTTTAGCTGTTTAAAGCTAATTGTTAGGGCAATTTTGGGGAAAGCTTTTAATGCAATAAAAAGTGTGCTTTATATGGCAGAAAATAATCTGAAAATAAATCTGTCAACATCTAACACAGCAAAGCAAAAAAAATAAATTAACCCTTACGTAATTTAGATGTGGACTTGGTTAACGGTATACGTCCATGGTTCTGATGGCCTGATGTTATAGAGTTGGAGGGATGCATCTGTGTAGGCAGATGTACAGGAATGGCTGGGGACATCAAGATATTAGTAATATCTGCAAAAGAAAAAGATTATCTGTAGTTTTGAAAGAAACAATTTTTTCAGATTAACTTTCCAGTGATAAGTCACTTGAATGAAATAAAAGTGCTTGATTTTCATGACAAGCAAACTTGTGAACATACACCTGAGTTTCTTGGGCAGTTATTCACCAACTGTCAAGCTTCTGCTTTATGCCAGAGTTTGATTCCCATTTGCATCAGCATAAACAAAACTAGGAAAGGCCTAGTGTATGTCGAACTAAGAAACTGAAAATGAGATATTGCATGGTGTTTACTCATTCCCCCACGAGAATGAGATGTGACACAAGGTCAGATTAATGTGGGGACCCGAGCGCGTACACTCGGGCAAATGAGATATTGCACAAGGAGAAAAGTCTTGAATAAGGTTATCTCAAGATATTGTCTTAGTGAGAAAGACAAGAAGTATATTAGTTCTGATAAACAGGGTACTTTATTCATGGATCCACCAGATAAGGTCTGGGATGTAGGTATGTGATACTTGGAATATCTTCACTATTACTTCTGTCTTTTCTCATGACAAATGGACAAGCTCTTCCCTTCAACCAGAGAGAACTCCATCTTCATCCAAACCAACATCTCTCCTCATTCTGTGACCCTCACTGCATGGTTGGCTCCTCTCTCTTCTCACTAACTGCAGCTTTCCCTTATGTAGAATGCAGCCTGAATATATAAGCCAGAATTCCCTATGTTCCGGCTGAGTGGTACTTGACCCCAAAAGTCTTTATTTATTTATACAATTTCTTATGGATGGCAGCTTGGATTGAGGAACCGGAGAGCTGAGTTCAAATTCCCGTTGAATCCATTACATTCACTTATGTGCTAATACCCTTGGGAAAGATATGAATCCTCTTCTTCTCCCCTCAAGACAGACTGGGTTCTATAGCCTTGGATAGCAACTGGTCTACTGCAGAAAGAAATGGCAACCTAGTACAGGAAAAAAAATCTGCCTCGTCAATCATGTATTGAAAGATACATGATCACCTAAGCGCGTATCACGCATGGCACATAACTGACTGACAATGGATAATGGGTGGTTACTTCAAAACTCTCACATCACGATTTACTTATTTACTTTCTCAGATCAATAGTTAAAAATGGCTTATTTATATAGTCAGTTGTCATAAAACTAGCTTCAGATAAATTCATTTACAGTACATTTGACGATGTGAATGCCCTAACCAATGGAGCATGGACCCATCATGTCACACACTGTTCTCTTAAGAGATTTATCTTACAGAATATTTTGAAAAACATTATTTTGTTTTTAGTAAAAGATTTTGTCGAGTATATCAATATGCATTCATAACACCCTCATAATTCATTTTTCTTTCTCTTGATAGCTTTTATTCCTTCTTTAAAAATGCCTCCAGTCAAGGATCAAGCCAAATTTGTTATCTTTTTGCCTCTTATCTTTTCTTGCTTTTCCTTATGAGAGTAGATTCTCTCTGAACTTTGACGGTTAAGAGGAAAATACTCCTCTTCACGAACACTTGTTTCTTATTACAGATCATTATATTCTGGTGAGGCAAACAAATTATCACACCATGAACAAAAAATATTTACCTAACATGTATTTTTTCAGTTAAAACATCAAGCAAGAGGTTTCCATCTTGAGGTATTTATAGGTCAGTGTGCAGGATGAGATAGCTCGGTGTGCAGAACAAGTTAGATATGAACTGCATGAAAACTTTTCTCTTGATATATTTTGATTTTCCTTTAAAAATATATTTCTATAGATTCTCTTGCTACCTGGTTTAACCCAGTAATGCCCGTCATAAAATCCAGTATTAATTATCAACATTAAATAAAAAAAAATCCACTGTTAATTATAAACATTAAATTAAAAAAAAAAATCCAGTATTAATTATCAACATTAAATAAAAATAAAATCCAGTATTATCAACGTTAAATAATAAAAAAATCCAGTATTATCAACGTTAAATAAAAAAAAAATCCAGTATTATCAACATTAAATAAAAAAAAAAATCCAGTATTAATTATCAACATTAAATAAAAAAAAAATCCAGTATTAATTATCGACATTAAAAAAAAAAATCCAGTATTAATTATCGACATTAAATAAAAAAAAAATCCAGTATTAATTATCGACATTAAATAAAAAAAAAAATTAATCATTAATAAAAAAAAAATTTATTAATTATTAAATAAAAAAAAAATCCAGATATTAATTATCAACATTAAATAAAAAAAAATCCGATATTAATTATCAACATTAAATAAAAAAAAAATCCAGTATTAATTATCAACATTAAAAAAAAAGCAAATCCAGTATTAATTATCAACATTAAATAAAAAAAAAAATCCAGTATTAATTATCAACATTAAATAAAAAAAAAAAAATAATCCAGTATTAATTATCAACATTAAATAAAAAAAACAAAAAACAATCCAGTATTAATTATCAACATTAAAAAAAAATAAAAAAACAATCCAGTATTAATTATCAACATTAAATAAAAAAAATAAAAAAAACAATCCAGTATTAATTATAGGTTTCTAATAAAATAAGAAAAAACTGGTATTATCTAAGGCTTTCTTTAAAAAAAAAAAAAAAAAAAGAAAAAAAGAAGACCTGGTATTAATTAAAGGTTTTTACATATGACTCATTAATGCCCACTATTCCATGAGACAAGAAGTCCTGGAAAATTTGAAACTCACAGGACATACTTGAGAGACAGCTAAAAACAATGCGTATCTTAATTTGATTGCGTAAATGGATAGATGAAAAGGGTATGGGAGGGACAGTAATAAGAAATTTTTTATAGCCATGACTACCCATATCCTGATGGGATACAGCACATAGAAAATGTTCCCTTATCCTCATGCTAATAAAAGTAAATTCTTGCAAACAAGTAGAGGATCTCATGATATTGTTTGGCTTTAACATGTTGGCTTCCAAGACTCATTTCCCCTGTTGTTTCAGGGTTCCAGCACTTAATTAATTTTGGTGAAAGAGAACTTAGTTTTAACATTGTTTCATATATGAGGCAAGGATATTATAGGTAGTATTTATTACCCACAACTGGTGTGTTGTTTGGTACCTGAATTCATTTTACAGCCCAGAGTCCCACACAAATGCAAGATACAGCTCTGTGTATGTAAAAATTTTAAAAATAGCCAAGAAATTCCAAAAGAAAATATGAATGACAGAAAAATAAAAAAAATAATTAATTTTTTTTTAAAAACAGTATGTTTCTGGTGTACCTTGATCTCATAAGCAATCAATCATAGCATCCCACTCCAAATAATCCTCATAGAAAAGAAACTGGAAAACAACCATCTGGAGGGTCATGTGGGCCTTGCAGTCTTACCACCATGACCCCCCGGTAGGTTGTGTGGGAGTCAATATGTTAAACATTAACATAATGAGTTTATTTGTATAATTAAATTTATAAATAGGTTCTTTGCAAATTATATTTTCATTTTAACTCATAGCCTTTAATAAGAATTTAGCATTTGTCTGTGCAGTCTTCTGTCTATGAATAAATCATTAAGTGTCTTCAACAAGGGATTTTGACAATTTAGCAAATTCTTTTTTATGATGGGAATAAATTTGGCATTTTGACAATATTTTATTATTTAGAACTGTCAGCTGTATACAAATGCTTTCTCAGATCAATAGTTAAAAATGGCTTTAAGCAAGTAAGGCCTGAGAGCCTTTTGGCAAAGATCATTATTCTTTGGACTTACAGAATCACAAAGAACTGTATCAAATAACAGAAACCACATCACTTGAGGACCTTCAACAGCAGCAACAACTAAAATGGATAGTGCATGTAACTTGAAGAGAAAATAATGACATAATCACAATGTTGACATTCCACACTACTTCAAACAAAAGGTTAGGAAGGAAAACCCCATCAATACTGGAAAGAGCGATAACAAAAACTGGACTTGAGAAACCCATTTTTCCTGAAAAATTGTTTTAGGATTTTATAAATTTCAACCAAAAGTAGTACTTACTGCTTGATCAATGAATGCCAAATGTTTCCTTATAAGGAAACAGCTAATATTGCCATTACAGCTTAGCTGCTAACATGTACAGCTGCCTATTCTTGCTCAAAAGCAGTAAAGTTAAAAAAAGGTGAGAATTTAATAGTTTGGTTAGTGACATATCAACCTTTATGTGATGTCAAAATCTAAATATTTTCTTTACAATTTTATGGCTTCAACTACATATATTTTGTACATAATTTTATACTTTCAGGGTAAACGTATGTTTTATAGTTTGTAGATGATTTATTGCATGTGTTATATGTTTTGGTATAAACCTATTTCTTTAAAAAGGTAGGACATTATGTTGGCAATCATCATAAAAATGTAGTCTTGGTAATTCTACTATAAATTGTATTGTTGGTTATTTTGCTATAAAAAATTTATTGCTGGTAATTTCACTACTAAAATTTTTATAAAAATGTACTGCTGGTATTTTTGCTATAAAAATATTTTCATATTTTCCGAGTGTTTTGATTTTAGTTTGGGGGTTCACTATTTGCCCATATCTGGGACCCTAACAGGTGCTACTACACTGTGTCAGGGTAGATCTGGGAACAACAACAATAAAGAGATGGTTCTATGGTCCCCAAAACCTCCAATCTTCTGATTAAAGGCCTTGCTGCCATATGTTGTTTATCATCCTACCCAGGACTAGATAATTTAAACAAGAAGTGATTAGGGTTAGGGTTGTAGAGGCATCCTAAAAATGGTCCTAGTAAATGATAATAACCAAAAATTTTAAAATAATTAATTTTGCCTTCTCTTCGTATTCCTTTCTCTATCAATTTCTCCTTTTTCAAAAGTTAAAGATTAAAATCCTTGCCTAATAAGAAAAAAAAGATTAAACTAAATACATTTAGATAAAAAGATACTTACTTGATACTACTGGACTGAGCAAGCGACCAATCGTCTTCATATTTGAGCCTTGTGTGATTGGAACAGAAGAGCTGGAAAAAAAAAAAAAAAAAGAACAAAAAGGTCATAACAATAAAAAATAAATTATCACTAAATGCTGTTTCCTTAGCATCTCATGGTGTTCCTGCCTTATGAATTAAAAAGTGCACATTAGACATATTACTGATCAATACAAGATTTTAGATGGGAAAATTTAGAAACTAGTCAGATTTTGCTAAAACGGGAAAGCTCAGAAACTAGTCAGGTTTTGATAAAACGGGAAAGCTCAGAAACTAGTCAGGTTTTGCTAAAACGGGAAAGCTCAGAAACTAGTCAGGTTTTGCTAAAACGGGAAAGCTCAGAAACTAGTCAGGTTTTGCTAAAACGGGAAAGCTCAGAAACTAGTCAGGTTTTGCTAAAACGGGAAAGCTCAGAAACTAGTCAGGTTTTGATAAAATGGGAAAGCTCAGAAACTAGTCAGGTTTTGATAAAACGGGAAAGCTCAGAAACTAATCAGGTTTTGCTAGTATGGGAAAGCTCAGAAACTAGTCAGGTTTTGCTAGTATGAGAAAGCTCAGAAACTAGTCAGATTTTAAGAAAAGAAATACAGGCATATGCATTCCTTCATTACACCAGTTCATAAAATTAAAAATCTTAATATTCTACATTAAAATCAAATAGCAAAATTAATTTCTCTAGTAAAACACAATGTAATGTCACAAGCCTATCATTACTCAATCACTACTTCCATGCCAAATGTTCAGACAAGCTCCTTTCTTTAGTGCCAACAGCTCAGGCCTTTGCAACCAAGACCCACATTGCTACGCCACAGGGTTGAATAACACTCATTCCCTATGTATTCATTTGCTAAGAAGGCAAAGCTTCTTCCCAAGAACTGATACTTTGTGGAACAGACTCCTATGTGGATGCTTTCCCAAACACTACAATCTTAACCTCTTCAAGTCTATAGATTCCATTTCTTTCTTTTTTTTGTTAAACCTAACAAGTTATCATATAGCAAAAAAATGGTGCAATTAATTTTTGCTTTTTGAAATTAAAATGTTAAATAAGAAAAAACGAGGTAAAAAGTCAAGTGATATACTAAACCTCCAATATACAGGTGCTGAAATATTGGAGTAAAATTAGCTTTGAAATATTAACTTCATTATTGTTTTTAATTTGTAATTATTTCTGAGTCGCTTATATTTGTTTCTTTTTCAAATAATATTGATGCATTAAATTCCTTTAAAACAAAATTAAATTTAACATTCTTTGAATTTTTATTACATTTTGACACCAATGTGAATAAGATTTTTTTCTTATAAATTTTCCTGTTCTAATTCAAAAGTTTACTAGTGAAATAATAAATAAAAGATTTCAAAATTTAGTCAAAATTAAATATGAAATTTTTCTTACATCTTTTAAAAACGACATCTGTAATTCATTTTGTCTATTTAAAAAATAATCTCATCAAAATTCAAATATTTTTCAATGGTAAAAAAAACTATATACACACATACAAATATAGATATAAATTGGTTCCAGCCTTATCAATATGGTCATAATGCAATAAGTAATCCTTTTCTGAAATGTATACTTTGATATATATATAACAATATGTCTACTAGTAATAAACATTAATTCCTTACCATTGATAACCCCTTTTCCCCACTTAATTTTCTAATATGTATTTTCTTTAGTAAAATTATTAGTAGTGTATTTACATTATACATATAATAGCAACATTCTCTCAGTAACACTTGGATTAATTCCTGACCACTGATAATCCCATTCTTCTTAATTTTCAATGTATAAAGAGACTGGTAAAATGACAAAATAGATTTTTTTTTCATTTTTTACAAAAGGAATTTCTGTCATTAAAAAACATATATGCATACATCTTTAAAGTCCTCACACATTTTTGATTAAACAAAAATTTATATAAATTAGTGAAAGTCTAAATAAAAAAAATAAAAATATGTGGATATCAGACATAAGCAGATTTTCAAGGTACATTTATAAATAAAAAACTAAATGCAGATAACTCTGTAAGAGTTAGTGTTCAATTTGACATTGTATTGATATTATGAATATCTGCCCTCTCAACAACAAATATATATATAATTATTTACTTAAAATATATTCCAACTCGTGACATAAGAGGTCTCATGTTTCAAAACAAGAGCGAAAACTTCAATGGAATAATTATTTGAAAAAAATTGAGTTAAGATGGAAAGCTCTTTTTCCATCTTCAAGCAAAATTTTTTTTTCAAAAATCAAAAAAAAAAAAAAAATTATTTATGTCACGAATTTGGATCATATTTTAAATAAATAATTATATTTATACTCTACTTTTTGTATCGAGCACTATTTTTAAAAAATAATAACTAAAATACTAAGGAACTTTGGATTATTTACCTAACCAGTTCCTTCCTATTGCTATATATTTTCACACATATATATATATATATATATATATATATATATATCGAAAATATAAAAGTATAAAATTTAATATTACAAGACATATTAAACAATATTAAATAATAAAAAAAAACATTTTATTATTTAATTTGTTTAATATGTCTTGTAATATTTACTTTATTTTTGACTTAGGAAAAAAATTTTGTACCTACAAAAATATATTTTATATATATATATATATATATATATATATATATATATATATATATATATATTTTGATTCTGACAAATGTCATGGCTTGAGGGAGCACTAAAGAATGCTAATCTACAAAAAATTATTCCCTGGAAATTTTTTTTTTTTTTTACAACTGGGCCATGCTAGGTTTTGGTAAGGAGTTAGTGGAATGTAAGTTCTCATGGAGGTTTTATAAGCTATTTAGAACAAGGTAATACAATCACAGAACAAGTGAAGATTTATACAAAGAACAATTTGTTTTTGTCAAAAGGATAATGCAAATCAATAGACCATAAAATAAGCTAATGACAAGATTAAATTGTGAGGTTTAATTATTTTATAGTAACAGTTACAATCTTCCTATTGTCAATTTTCTATAGCTTTGATATAGGGTTAGGATTCTTGTTAAGGTTAGGGTTCATCTAAAATATGTAATCGTTTCACTGAAAAATGCCAAAGAAACAAATATAACATTGAAAATATTGAGACATTAATAATATCTGTTATATACACTTATATGTATGAGAAATATCTATTTCTGTCGGGTACTTCACGAGTTTATGGGTTCGCTCTGTTTGCAGCAGAGACTCATAGTAAATTGATCTACCCTCTAAAAAAGAAGGTTTTCTAACAATTCTATGTTCATGTAATTGATATATTTCCTAGTCAGAGAGCCCTAGTACCCCATAAGTCCCAACTTTATGTGAAGAAAGGCATAAGAAGGTTGTTCATTAAAGTTTGCACCAAAACATAAACCAACCACAGAGATCATATACAAATATATATTATGCCGAATTAAAGGCTTAAATAAAGATTAATAACTTTCTTATACATATAAGTGTGGAAAAATGTATGACAAGGTGAAAAAGATTTGTGATGCATTTCATTCTTTAGGATTTCACACTAAATTACAGACTACAGATGTACAAGAGATGCTGGAAATTTTAAAACTTTTTTCTTTTTTTTTTTAATCTAGCTGATTTCATTTAGATGCTTTTTTTCCCATCACTTTTGTTATTAGATGTCGCGCACTGTGATAATAGAAGTTCTGCCAGAAATGGTGAAATGTTGTAAGAGCCATGGTGCAAATTTACTGTGGATGACCTTGTGATCAAGGCACTCTCTAAATATAAGTGTATATATATTGAGTATTATTATTATTGTCTCAATTTGACATAAAAATTTGACATAAAAATTCCTTGAATTTTTAATGTTAAATTTGTTTCTTTTTATATATATAAGACTTATTTATGAGACTGGGATTTTGTCCTGTTACTGATTTTGAGTAAGATCAGATAAAAATCTATATATCTTTTGATAAACCCTAGTCAGGAGCCAGCAGTTCAGTTCTAAGCTAAAGAGAAAAAAAAATGGTTTCAGTTTTAACATATCCCACTGTGCAATGAACACAGTCAGGTTGACCAACTTTGAATGAAAGAAGAATTGAAAAAAAAAAAAGAACGATTAAAAAATAAAGTTTCTGTTTACCCCCAAATATATAACACTAAAATGCAAGATTAAAAATGGTTGATTTCAATTTCTCCCATCCTAAACACTGGGTCATTTTACTAATAGGCAAAGTGATACATTTCCTTGTTTTAAAATCTGAAAATGTAATTAATAAACTAGCCAATAATGGATATTATAACAAGCCCATCACAGCAAATGGACAGAGATATGTTGATCAGAGTGGCAAGTGGAGTTGCAATAAGCAATCACAGACAAGCGAGGCATTGGAGAGAAAAAAAAAATGTCCCAACTGATATAAAAAGGTCTGTAGCCCAACTGATGCCAACTGATAAAAGCCAAGCATAGAAAAATGTTTATGCACACAACACTGTCATCCTACAATGGCAGAACATTAAGGTGATCTAGATAAAGAGAGAAAAGCAGATGCCAACCTGAAATAGAGAGAGAGAGAGAAAAGAGAGAGAGAATGGGAATGAGAATGTGGCTTAGGGAAAATTGGAACCTTTCCCCAGATATAGACAGGAGATAAATAAATATATATGTAACTAATACAATATTTACATACCTATGCATCTATAATGTACTTTCAGAGAGACAATAAATTCACACACAATTAAGGGTAAAAAAAAAAGACATATACTGAGGCATTTACAAATATACATTTTATATACACTGACAATGGATGATCATAAAACACAGAGAGAAACAATTCACATCTAATAGGTGTGTGTAAAATTCCTCAGTTAACCTCTTTCATGAAAACTAGAGAATGCAAGGTAAAAATTAAAAGAATTTGGTCTTCTAAATAAAAAAAAAAAACTATTTCTGCAGATGGGTCGAAAGCCACAACTCTGTTAAGTCTTTTGGTACTAATTAAGTAGACTGGTCCACTAGTAAAGAATAAAATTCTCAGTAACTTTTTTT